GGCATTTAAGCGAGAGCCGGCCGGCGCACAGAGTCCCCAACAGTCACACAGACATCTGCAGCAACAACAGAGGAAACGACAGCTGTGAGAGAGTTAATGTTCGTACCACTGTTGTTCTGTCATTACAGTCCGGGTGATGTTGTAAAGTTTTAACCCGGTTAACTTGGCTATAAACCCGGTTCTGAGGGGATGAAGTCCGGCTGTGAGATGGGAGCTCTGCAGACGGGGGATTGTGCTATACCAGCAAGAACGCATCGTCTCAAACTGTCAGCAGCGTTCTGCGTGCTCGTGACATTACAAGTTAATTCTTCCAAGAACGATTAGCAAGAACATTCTCCCCAAGAACACAAGCCCGTAATTTGCATTCTGGGTTCTTAGAAACATCCTTGGTCTTTCTAAAAGGCCTCTGACTTCAGACCAGGAAACAGCCACAGTTAACGTCCATGCCGTTCTGTTGGAGTAAACACTCCAGGAGTCTGAGTCCTCATGAACAGTTAGATCGTGGTGCTTCATGTTCTCTAATCATGCAGCGCATAAAACATCTTCTGCTAAATCCAAACGAACGTTAGAACCGGCTGAAAGAGCGTCATGTGGTCTCTCAGGTCGGGTAACGCCTCTGAATGTGTCCGCTCTGTCCTTCAGCTGAGTTATTAGTGTTCCTGTAGACGACAGATGGACTTTGTGTCGTACGTTTTAAATAAAACAGAGATGAAGTGAGACGACAGCTCTTCTCCTCGTCTGCAGCACTCAAACAGGAAGCACTGCTGCCACCACAGAAGAAGAGAGCGAGGAACAAATAAAGGACACATATGGGAGGAGATCCGAGTCTGGCTGAAAAACTGAATACTGTTTCATATGGTGCGACTGATCTGGGCGACAGACACCAACAGATGATGGATTATCACAGAGAGACAGAAAGAGGCTACTACTAAACAAAAGTCAGGGACGTCCAGACACAGCTGAGACACAATCAGCTGATCAGGTTCCAGGTGAGTCTTTAGAACGTGAATGCTGTCACTCTGTTCTGGAGACGGAGGATAAAGTGACTGTTGCTGTAGTAACCAATAATCATCAGAACATCAGAACTCTCAGACGTTCCACTGAGAACACGTTTGATGATCAGAAAGTCAAACTTCACATATGCCCACGTCCTCCAGACGGGTTTACACAGAGACACTAATCATCATCATCATCAGGACAGAGAGAGGGACAGAACCAAACTCTCACTCTGTCTGACTGAAGGAACCAAACAGAACCAGACGCTCAGTCCATCTCATTAAACAAACCGAACCAAACAGAATCAAACGCCCTCACTCCGTCTAACTGAAGGAACCAAACCAAACGTTCACTCCTTCTGACTGAAGGAACCGAACATTCACACCATTCAACTGAAAGAACCATGACATTGATTCCATTAAACTTGAAGAACCATGACATTGATTCCATTAAACTTGAAGAACCATGACATTGATTCCATTAATCTGAAGGAACCATGACATTATTTAATTCCATTAAACTGAAAGAACCAAACTGAAAGAACCATTCACACCATTAAACTGAAGGAACCGAACATTCACACCATTAAACTGAAAGAACCATGACATTAATTCCATTAAACTGAAGGAACCATGAAATTATTTAATTCCATTAATCTGAAAGAACCAAACTGAAAGAACCATTCACACCATTAAACTGAAGGAACCGAACATTCACACCATTAAACTGAAAGAACCATGACATTAATTCCATTAAACTGAAGGAACCATGAAATTATTTAATTCCATTAATCTGAAAGAACCAAACTGAAAGAACCATTCACACCATTAAACTGAAGGAACCGAACATTCACACCATTAAACTGAAAGAACCATGACATTAATTCCATTAACTGAAGGAACCATGAAATTATTTAATTCCATTAATCTGAAAGAACCAAACTGAAAGAACCATTCACACCATTAAACTGAAAGAACCATGAAATTAATTCCATTAAACTTGAAGAACCATGACATTGATTCCATTAAACTTGAAGAACCATGACATTGATTCCATTAATCTGAAGGAACCATGACATTATTTAATTCCATTAAACTGAAAGAACCAAACTGAAAGAACCATTCACACCATTAAACTGAAGGAACCATGACATTAATTCCATTAAACTTGAAGAACCATGACATTGATTCCATTAAACTTGAAGAACCATGACATTGATTCCATTAATCTGAAGGAACCATGACATTATTTAATTCCATTAAACTGAAAGAACCAAACTGAAAGAACCATTCACACCATTAAACTGAAGGAACCGAACATTCACACCATTAAACTGAAAGAACCATGACATTAATTCCATTAAACTGAAGGAACCATGAAATTATTTAATTCCATTAATCTGAAAGAACCAAACTGAAAGAACCATTCACACCATTAAACTGAAGGAACCGAACATTCACACCATTAAACTGAAAGAACCATGACATTAATTCCATTAAACTGAAGGAACCATGAAATTATTTAATTCCATTAATCTGAAAGAACCAAACTGAAAGAACCATTCACACCATTAAACTGAAAGAACCATGAAATTAATTCCATTAAACTGAAGGAACCATGAAATTATTTAATTCCATTAATTCCATTAAACTGAAAGAACCAAACTGAAAGAACCATTCACACCATTAAACTGAAAGAACCATGACATTAATTCCATTAAACTGAAAGAACCATTCACACCATTAAACTGAAGGAACCGAACATTCACACCATTAAACTGAAAGAACCATGACATTGATGCCATTAAACTGAAAAAACCATGACATTAATTCCATTAAACTGAAGGAACCATGAACTTATTTAATTCCATTAAGTCCATTAAACTGAAAGAACCAAACTGAAAGAACCATTCACACCATTAAACTGAAGGAACCGAACATTCACACCATTAAACTGAAAGAACCATGACATTAATTCCATTAAACTGAAGGAACCATGAAATTATTTAATTCCATTAATCTGAAAGAACCATTCACACCATTAAACTGAAGGAACCGAACATTCACACCATTAAACTGAAAGAACCATGACATTGATTCCATTAAACTGAAGGAACCGAATGTTTTTCATCATATATAATAATATATTTATATATAGGTAAAAGGTACTTTATTGTCACATACACGTTATGAAATTAATTCTCTGCATTTAACCCAATATATAACATGAGATTAAGTCTTCATTGTTCTCTAAGAGATCCCAGGCAATCACATTACTATCTATCATTAATGACCTTGTAAACCTTGTTATGATGTTGTAGGTTATCTGTTTTTGAATGTTTGTACTTTATTTTGTAGTTAGAGAACCTTTCAGCCTCATATTTATAAAAACCTTTTAAAATTTCAAATGGAAATAAAAACTACATTCAGCTGTACTACGACCAACGAATACCTTCAGCTGGTCTAAAGTACTACAACACAAATACACATTCAGACCTTTTAGGATATTTGTAGGGCATCATCATGGTTTATCATCAGTGGCAGCAGCATTAGTAGTAGTAGTAGTAACAGCATCAGTAGTAGTAGTAACAGCATTAGTAGTAGTAGTAACAGTATTAGTAGTAGTAGTAACAGCATTAGTAGTAGTAGTAACAGCATTAGTAGTAGTAGTAACAGCATCAGTAGTAGTAGTAGTAACAGCATTAGTAGTAGTAGTAACAGCATTAGTAGTAGTAGTAACAGCATCAGTAGTAGTAGTAGTAACAGCATTAGTAGTAGTAGTAACAGCATCAGTAGTAGTAGTAACAGTATTAGTAGTAGTATTAGCAGTATTATTTGTACTAGTAGTCCTGCAGCAGCATTAGTAGTAGTAGTAACAGTATTAGTAGTAGTAGTAACAGTATTAGTAGTAGTAGTAACAGCATCAGTAGTAGTAGTAACAGTATTAGTAGTAGTAGTAACAGCATCAGTAGTAGTAGTAACAGTATTAGTAGTAGTATTAGCAGTATTATTTGTACTAGTAGTCCTGCAGCAGCATTAGTAGTAGTAGTAACAGTATTAGTAGTAGTAGTAACAGTATTAGTAGTAGTAGTAACAGTATCAGTAGTAGTAGTAACAGCATCAGTAGTAGTAACAGCATCAGTAGTAGTAGTAACAGCATCAGTAGTAGTAACAGCATCAGTAGTAGTAGTAACAGTATCAGTAGTAGTAGTAACAGTATTAGTAGTAGTAGTAACAGTATTAGTAGTAGTAGTAACAGTATCAGTAGTAGTAGTAACAGCATCAGTAGTAGTAACAGCATCAGTAGTAGTAGTAACAGTATCAGTAGTAGTAGTAACAGTATTAGTAGTAGTATTAGCAGTATTATTTGTACTAGTAGTCCTGCAGCAGCAGTTGTGTGTGCTGTGACCTTTGACCTCCACTCTGTGTGTTGGTGATGTTCAGCTGTGTGAAGGAGCACAGCTCCACCTGCTGGACAGACTGACTCATTACAACATTCATGTCTGCTTGTACACTACAAATCAACACACACTATATTCCTTTTGTAACTTTCAGACACAACTCTGGGATCACACCCTGTCTCTATCCTGTCCTCGGTCCTCACGGTCTCTAACAATCCTCAGTTACTGTACTTCTGATGTAACGCTGCATAAACAGGGACTTATTATTCTGACAGTGAACGCAACACGAGTCCTTCAGTAGTAATGCTCACTGAGCCACGTTACGGCCGCAGCATCATACTGCACCAGGAGAAACTCACTAACCCACAACAGACCAGTCTGTGACAAATTAGGGTTCAGGTGACCCACGAGGCCTCCTGCCCCCCTTTAGGTAAGGAACTTTCTGCCATCTGGTGACTGTTGAACAGTTTGTTCCCAACTGACTGCTGAAATACGTTCACACATTTTAACACGTGAATGAGCCAGTGCACCGATGAACCTGTGAGTGCTGTTTGTGTGTGCTAATATTAGTACTATAGTAGTAGTAGTAGTAGTAGTATTTTACCTGTGTACATGTCCACCAGAGAGTCCCTGAACTCCTTGCTGTGTGTCCATGTTGACAGACTGGTCTCCACTGGACTCTCTGAACTGGTTTCTCTGAAAACATGAAACACTTCACGTCAGAGACTCTCACCTGTCCAGAGACCTGATCCTGGATCAGTTTATCAGACACATCTGGAGGATTCAAACAGCAGCAGCAGGTTTAAAGAGCAGCTGTTCACACACAGAACTTAGACTGGTTCCAGTCAGACCAGTAAACACAGAGACTCACCTGCTGGAGACCAGTACGGTTCAGCAGAAACCGTTAAACTGATCTCCAGTCAGTCAGTACATCTGATGACCTGCAGGTCACATGGTTCCTGCAGCTTAGTGGCTGTTTAATCTGAACCACGCTGTGAAACTTTACCCAGCATGCCTCTGCGCTCAGTCACGTTACCCAGCATGCCTCTGTGCTCAGTCACGTTACCCAGCATGCCTCTGTGCTCAGTCACGTTACCCAGCATTCCTTCATGCTCTTAATTTTTGACACCATCAGATCCAGGTCACACTCACAGGCCTGAGTCCAGGCCCGGCCTGAATCAGGGTCTATCGAGGTATTTAGAAGGACCGTCACACCCTGAACCTGTTGCCTGCCCTGCGGCGGCAGACCAATCGATTGCCGGTATATTCGTCCAACCGCCCAAATCTAGTTTCTGTGTAGGACTGTTTCACGTTTCCAAAAACAAGAGTGTTGGAATGTCTCAACAATCACACCATGTTTTTATCTAATGAAAAATTTGGCTTCAGTCCGGATCTCTAAGGTTCAAGCTAAATGGAACACTTCTGTTTGCGGTTGTCGTTGCGGGTGTAAAGGTTCAAGCTAAATGGTATCTGACCTGTTGCTCAGTTGCTGCTGCAGGTTGCTGATCTTCTTCTTCGCTCTCTGCAGAGCAAACTGAACATCTTCAACTCGGCTGCTGGACGCCATCAACACACATTCACCTGACTGAAAACACACCTGACCGTCTCCATGACAACCAGCACACACACACACTACACCGCACCACAGCACTTCCAGGTCACACAGGTGGAGGAGGGCTGTGATTGGCCGACATCCAGAGACTCTGAACAAGGAGCAGTTTAAAAATTGATGAGCTCACAGCATCAGGTGAGCCAGGTGAGTCAGGTGAGCCAGGTGAGTCAGGTGAGTCAGGTTTCAGGTTGTTTTTCTTTGTTTGTCATTGACCAGCAGCAGAACTGATTTTTTTTTTCCATTTCAGTAAATGTCTAGATTATTTATTGATTATGTGTCGGTTATAATCAGAGATATGAAAAGTTTCACACAAATTAAACTTCATTACTTCAGTTCGTTATCGTAATTATTCTCAATTTGTGTTTCATTCCATCTTCATATTTTGTCTGGTTATTTTATATATTATAATATAAAATATTCATATTCGAGTGATTTATGTGCCGTGGAACTTCTCTCTGTGCAGTTTGATCCAAGTTCTGACATTTTTCTGTTTCACTGCACCAAACTACATTTTTTAAACATGAAATCATTTGAGCTCCTGATTTGATTGGTTTTCAAGGTTTTGGGCTCGTTTTTTCTTCACATCACAGTGACATCACTAATTATCCTCTAACCTGATTGGCAGAGAGTAACGTTGGCACCACCCTCTCTGTTGACGCACTAATGCTGCGTTCAAGACTGCTCGGAACTCGGAAATATTCGTCCTCTGACCTCAAAGCGTTCCAGGTGCATGATGGTTCATGACGCAGAAAGTGAACTACAAACATGGCTGACGGTGACGTCTGTCAGGTGGACACAGGTGAACCCTCAGCAGTGACCTTGACTCAAAAGGTCAAACTGAAAATGACCCCAACTCGCTCCCTGTGTTCATCAGTCACTACTGATGTTTTCACCTTTTCCTGAATAACGACCTTCAGGTGGTTTACAGAAGAAGAAGCTACCTGACAACACAGGTGTGACTGGGATTCATTTCGATGCATTTACATTTACATCATTTACAGCACGAGCTTCACTCAGCTGCCTCTCGTGACGTCGGGGGGGGGCAGATGGTTTCTCAGAGACTTCAGGTGGCGTTCATGGTGCTTTATCTAGTTGGAGGTGGGAAATTTACGAGTTCGGTGTTGCCTTGAACGCAGCATCAGACCCTGACTTCACACCCTGTTCTGATTGGCTCGTTGACCCTCCGCAGTAACCACAGAAGAAGAAGCAGCTGTACACACACATTTATTGATTGTTAAACAGGTTAAATTAATCAGATCGTCATGGTTTCTGTGTCTCAGCGTCCTGCAGCAGTTTGTCCAGCAGGACCACGTCCACTCGATGTTTCATCACAAACTGTCCGTTCAGGTGGAAGACAGGTATGTCCCACCTGTACCTGTCCGCCCAGTGTCTGTTCTCAGGAAGACTGATGTCCACCTGCTGCAACACAAACTGACAGAGACACACAGTCAGAGCGAGACACGTCTCCGATCGAAGTACAACCCTGAATCTTCTCTCTGCGTTCCTTCAACATGAAGTTCTGTAGAAATGAAGGAACTCGATGAGCCGGATTTATCAAGCTTCTCAGAATTAGATTTTCAGAAACGCCGGTTGCAGTTCTGACGTGTGGACAGTAAAACCGGGGCTTTTGCCTCACGACATCAGTGAGCGCCGTTATCCGCTGTGTTTGATGTCAGATTGAGCGCCATTTCCCCTTTATTAGGCTCCGATTGGCCGACGTGGCTTTACGGTTAGCGTCATATCGCCGCCTGGTGGTTTGGCGTGCTCTTGACATCGCTTGATAGCGTGTTTGTGAGGAAAAACTCCGGTCGAGGCCTCAAACACTGACGGACATCTGCACTTGTTTTTTAATCAACGACAGGTAGAATATTTAATCTTTGTTTTACATATTTAAACTCTTTGCATTTTTGTCTATGTAAATATCTTTGTGTAAATTTGGATTGTATTTTAATTTACGGAAGTTTTTCAGCTCATGGTTGAAAAGTTGTTTTACTTCCTCCCTTGTAAAAGAGACTGTGTCTCAATGGGACTTTTATAATATAGGTAAATATAAAATATTAATAAAAAAATAAAGGTATATATATATATTTTTTTTTACTGAGGGGGCCAGGCTGGGGCCAATAGTTTTGTCAGAGGGGCCCATTCAATCTGGGACAAAAGGGACAAAGGTGATGTTTAAGCTTTCTAAATGTCTTGTTTAGTTTATAATGTGATGTTTTCGTATGTTTCAGTAACTTACAGTTTTATTAAATGACATAAGACATTAAAAAGCCGTCCTGTTAACTTTAGCTCAGGTTACAGGACATCCTGCAGCACTTCATGAACAGCAGAAGCTCTGGTGTCCGAGACCTTCTCTGGATCCCACTTTGTTTTTTGTTTCCCACTATAACTTTTCTAGGAAACAACAAACGGCTCCATGTTCAGCCCCGTTATTAGTCCTGATGTGAAGTACACCTAAAACAAAATACTTCATCTGTGCGTTATGGACGGGGACACGTATTTTGGCAGACTGCATGTCCAGGTAGGACCAGCAGGCTGCAGTTACTGCTTTGGGAATGAAAAGTGCTCTTTAAACGCATTATGAAATTGTTATGATAATATTTTACCTTTACAAGGACAAAATATCGTCTGCAGTGCTGCATTTAGATTAATGTACATCTGGAGTGCAGTAGATGTGACGCTGAGGCGAGCGACGCGTTCTACTGGTTACAGTGACGCTGATTTTACAGAATCGATGGCGCAGATATTTGTAGGAGCAGCTTCCTTGAAAAAGGCGACGGGAACAGATGACTGAGTGATCGACTCCGTGGTTAGAACATCGTCAGACTGACCGTTTGCTTTACGAGGGAAACTGAAACTGCTCGTCTTGTTCAGACCTTCTCAGTTCAGTCAACAATACGAAGTTCAACAACACGTAACGTTAGACTATGAAAGCGTTCTTATAATCCGTGTGCTAGCTTGCTCTGCAAAAAACTCGTTGATAAAACCCTAAAACGACAGATTCTCAGCTTTAAGACTTGAGTTTGGAAGTCGGAGTAAATTTCATGAATTACTCTGAGAAGCCTGATAAACGGCAGGAGGACCGTGCTGAGCAGCAGGTGGCGCTCAGGAAACACTGAAGAAGAGCGTGAACACGTGAGCTCACCCGGTGTCGGAACGGTTCCAGCACATCTTTAGCTTCGTCACACAGAGGACACGGATTCTGCAGAGAACACGTCAGTACTTCATGTTAGTACACTGATCATACTCACAGGAAGTACTTCAGTAACAGAAGTTTAACAGCTGTTTCTATCTTTACTTTATTCATTAAAGTGGAATCATTACATCACATTTATTCATTTAGCTGACGCTTTTATCCAAAGCGACATGTCAGAGGTCAGAGGTCGCACGCCTCTGGAGCAAAGAGGGGTTAAAGTGTCTTGCTCAGGGACACATTAGTGGATTGAACACCAAGGGCCTGTGTCTTATCCACTGCGCCAGAATCAGTGGAAAGTTCACATTTTTCTGGCTGACCTGGTTCCTAAATAGCAGCTAAGCTGAAGCTGCTGAGTCGGGACAGTCTGCAGGGCTGCACAGGGACGGGGCCCAGACCTGGTTCTCAAAACCCTAAAATCAGTCCTTAAACCTTGTGACTCCAGAGGAGGAGTCATGTGACCACTGGTCACACACTGGTACACAGATTGTCAGCGAAAAGGACGACCCCGGGCCCCGGAGTCAGGGTCCGGGTGAGGTTTGCGGTTACCTTGGTGAACAGAGTGAGAGTCGGTAAAGAGTCGGCAGAAAAGAGTCTGCAGAGCTGCAGAGCTGCAGGACGACTCTTCAGGAAAAACATTTGATCTGAGAACACAGACACAAAGAAACTGTTACTGACCTCCACGGTCCAATCGGGACCATCCAGCTGCCAGCCGACCAATCACAGAGCAGGAGGACGACAACAATGGAATACGAGCTGAACATCAGAAATGGGACGCCTCCCTCTGAAGCGACGCAGATTCTGATGAGTGCCGGCCTGCGGCGGCGGGGGGGCCTGCGGCGGCGGGGCCTGCGGCGGCGGGGCCCGCTGACGATTTGTTTTCTCTTTAAATGTGAGAACGATAAATGGACAGAACGGACGATCGGAGCTGCAATAGACGAACAGCTGAGCTCAGATCCATAACACGCTGCCTGAAGTTCTGCAAACTCTGACTTTTATATTTCACTCTATATTATCTATATTTCATATTAATATTAATGTCTGAGACCTCAGAGCCTGGCCTGAGGTCTCGGGGTCTGGCCTGAGGTCTCAGAGCCTGGCCTGAGGTCTCGGGGTCTGGCCTGAGGTCTCAGAGCCTGGCCTGAGGTCTCGGGGTCTGGCCTGAGGTCTCAGAGCCTGGCCTGAGGTCTCGGGGCCTGAGGTCTCGGGGTCTGGCCTGAGGTCTCGGGGCCTGAGGTCTCGGGGCCTGGCCTGAGGTCTCGGGGTCTGGCCTGAGGTCTTGGGGCCTGAGGTCTCGGGGTCTGAGGTCTCGGGGTCTGGCCTGAGGTCTCGGGGCCTGAGGTCTCGGGGCCTGGCCTGAGGTCTCGGGGTCTGGCCTGAGGTCTCGGGGCCTGAGGTCTCGGGGTCTGAGGTCTCGGGGTCTCAAACTACAACCATTTGTTAAATCCATTTCCTGTTTACTGTATTTAACTAGTTGAACAGTTTGTGGCGTGCAGCTCCTTGGCTCCGCCCCCGAGCTGTGATTGGACAGTTGCTGGACAACACGGAAACACTTTAATGTGGCTGAAAACTTTTCAATCAGTATTTAAAGACAAACGATGGAAAAGTGTTGGTTTGTGAATGTAGAGGTTCATTCTGTCTGTAAACAACTATTATTTTATTTTATATGTTCTATATTTTAATACAGCCCCCCCCCCCCCTTGTATCTGTGGACACTGAGCAGGACTCACTTTCACTTTCTCAGAGCAAATCTGATGTTTTTATCACAGCTGATGAAGAAAGAAATATCTGAATCTACAGATAAACACGCGCGCACGTGACTCCGCGCGTGTCCAGCGGGTTTCCCTGCAGTTTAAATCACTGTTAGCCTGTTAGCTCACCTGCTAGCAGAGCTAACAGGGTTACAGTAACTAACGGCACCGGTACCGGGTCTACAGACCCGAACCCGCAGTAACTCACCGTGTCCCGCTGAACCGGCCCGGTTCTGTCGCTGAAATCTTCTGGTCCCGGTGTTTAAACGAAAAGTTTCTGTTAAAGTTTGATGAAAGTTTGGAGCCGACGAGACGAACACCAGCTGCTGCTTCTTCTTCTGCTGTTAGACGGCGGCTGCGAGCAGCTTGTAGGCGCATTACCGCCCCCAACCAGAACATGAAGTCCTCCTGCTGCACCTGAGTCCTCCTGGGGTCTGTGTTCAGATCCAGGACCGTATAAACCACATGCTGCTTCTTTTTGTTCTTCTTCTGGCTTTCCGGCAGACTAGATGACTTACGGCATATTGTGTGACGAAACACTCCACGACACGTGATGATGCACAAAATTGGAGTCACAACAGACTTCAATGCTATTTGTAAGAAATATATATTGATGAAAAAGGCTACTGGATTTTGGGGGGTCTGGGGTTCCTCCCCCAGATGGTTTTGAGCATTAAACTCTTAATTTCTTGCATTCTAGAGACATTTTCTGCACTAATTTATGGAGGAAATGTCTTTATTTATATGACGGGAATCAAAATTCATGTGGCCGGTGCTAATTCAGAATATACAAATATTACTGAATATAATGCCGTAATCAGCAGCTTGTTGTTACTTTTTGGACAAAGCAGATCTGTTTCATTTTATTCATTCATTCCTGTTGTGCAAGTTAACCTAAACATTTCTTGTTGCGAGCTAATTTGCAGAAAACGTTTAGCAAATGCTTTCAAAATGTGGTGGGGACATGTCCCCCGCGTCCCCAGCGTAAATGACACCTATGTTCACCACCGTACTTATTTAAAGATCAGAGGAGTTCACTGAACGCTCGGTAAAGATCTGCAGGTTCAGTTTTCTCTGAGTTCATCCGATCGAATAAAAATGAAACCTTTTCTTTATATTTTTTATTTTCACACTTTAACATTCAAACTGTGCAAATGAATCAAAATGACTGATGGATTCTGTCCACACTGAAAACCTTCAGCCACAGAGGAACTCACCAGACCGCCAGGACCTGGTCCCTACTGGTCTCTACTGGTCTCTAATCAGACCTGGACCATGAGCCATTCATCTGTTTTTAAAATTTATTTCTTTACTTGAGTTTATTCAGATTTTCCTCAGGTCGTCCCCGATCTGTTAATCTGACGTCAGCCCTCAGGAGCCTCAGAGGCCCTCAGGGGCCACAGGTTCACCCTAACTTTACTGACAGAAGAGACATTCTATAAAACTTTCCTCGAGGGGCCACTGCATCAAAGAAAAATGGAACTTTCTTCAGCAATAAAACTAAACTATAATCCACTCTGGGGTGGAACCACTCGTCTTTCCTCTCACTGACACCGTCTCACCCGTCTCACCCGTCTCACCCATCTCACCGCTGTGCTGAAGTAACCCTGATATAACGTCCCTCTAAATCCAACAGGTTACAAACTAGTTCTGACAGGTGACTGTTTACACTCAGTGAGCGACAGCTGAGCGACAGCTGAGCGACAGCTGAGCAACAGGCGCACCTGCAGCTGAGCGACAGCTGAGCGACAGCTGAGCAACAGGCGCACCTGCAGCTGAGCGACAGGCGTACCTGCAGCTGAGCGGCAGCTGAGCGACAGGCGTACCTGCAGCTGAGCGACAGCTGAGCGACAGGCGCACCTGCAGCTGAGCGACAGCTGAGCGACAGGCGTACCTGCAGCTGAGCGACAGCTGAGCGACAGGCGCACCTGCAGCTGAGCGACAGCTGAGCGACAGCTGAGCGACAGGCGCACCTGCAGCTGAGCGACAGCTGAGCGACAGCTGAGCGACAGCTGAGCGACAGGCGCACCTGCAGCTGAGCGACAGCTGAGCGACAGCTGAGCGACAGCTGAGCGACAGGCGCACCTGCAGCTGAGCGACAGGCGTACCTGCAGCTGAGCGACAGCTGAGCGACAGGCGCACCTGCAGCTGAGCGACAGCTGAGCGACAGGCGTACCTGCAGCTGAGCGGCAGCTGAGCGACAGCTGAGCAACAGGCGCACCTGCAGCTGAGCGACAGGCGTACCTGCAGCTGAGCGACAGCTGAGCGACAGGCGTACCTGCAGCTGAGCGACAGCTGAGCGACAGGCGCACCTGCAGCTGAGCGACAGGCGCACCTGCAGCTGAGCGACAGCTGAGCGACAGGCGTACCTGCAGCTGAGCGGCAGGCGCACCTGCAGCTGAGCGACAGGCGCACCTGCAGCTGAGCGGCAGCTGAGCGACAGGCGCACCTGCAGCTGAGCGACAGGCGTACCTGCAGCTGAGCGGCAGGCGTACCTGCAGCTGAGCGACAGGCGCACCTGCAGCTGAGCGACAGGCGCACCTGCAGCTGAGCGGCAGCTGAGCGACAGGCGCACCTGCAGCTGAGCGACAGGCGCACCTGCAGCTGAGCGACAGGCGCACCTGCAGCTGAGCGGCAGCTGAGCGACAGGCGCACCTGCAGCTGAGCGACAGGCGCACCTGCAGCTGAGCGACAGGCGTACCCGCAGCTGAGCGACAGGCGTACCCGCAGCTGAGCGGCAGGCGTACCTGCAGCTGAATCAGGACCATCGTCAGTCTGTTACTAGTAATGTGAAATATAGTCCAAACATTAAATTGCTGTTTAACAATCTGCACTAAAATAATTTACCTCTGATTACAAAACATTAGACCTGTTCTGGGTCCTGCTGGTCTGTACTGGTTTTCTGAGGTCCTCTGTGGCTGCAGTGGATTCCCAGCATGCCTTGGTAAACAGGTACTAAACAGGAAGTGAAGCTCGATGCACGGCATCAGTAATGAGCAGCAACAGAGTTCATGCTGCGTCGGCCATGTTGGCTCCGAGTGATGTCACCATGGTAATGTCATGGTAACACGGATCCATTCACACACACTCACACGCTGTTCTGTAGCCCATCAGCCAATCAGATAAGGACCCGCCCTCCGGTCTCTGAAGTTCACTCTGATTGGCTGCTTCCTATCTGACTCTTCTTCTCCTCCTCTATCGGCGTTGCACTCAGATAGACGAGCCTCCTCCACGGTCACTTCTTCTTCCCATCATCCTTTACTCTGTTGGGCGTGGACAAGTGAGCTGATCTCAGACCAGCGAGGTCAGAGGTCAGAGGGGTCTCAACGTCACGGGTCAGGGAGGTCAGAGGTATCCACGGTAACCTACAGATCAAACCAATCAACACAGATATTGATAAGTTTGTAACCAAAACAAACCTGGCAAGTCCCCAGACCTGTGCAACTAGTCCCCAGACCTCTGCAACTAGTCCCCAGGCCTCTGCAACTAGTCCCCAGACCTGTGCAACTAGTCCCCAGACCTCTGCAACTAGTCCCCAGGCCTCTGCAACTAGTCCCCAGGCCTCTGCAACCAGTCCCCAGGCCTCTGCAACTAGTCCCCAGGCCTCTGCAACTAGTCCCCAGGCCTCTGCAACCAGTCCCCAGGCCTGTGCAACCAGTCCCCAGGCCTGTGCAACCAGTCCCCAGGCCTGTGCAACCAGTCCCCAGGCCTGTGCAACCAGTCCCCAG